AGAGTTGTTTACGTTATCGAGCGTACACATTGTTTACGTTATCGCGCGTTCCGTTTGATCCTATAGAACGAAGTTTGTGTTTACGTTATCGAGCGTCTGCTGTAATGCTATTTCGTGGAATACACCTTTAAAGATGAAAGCCTAGGATTTAGTTACTATAATTTCCGAAACAGGTCGCCTGGTGAAAGCCAAATACAGCACCGATTTCTACATCCTGGACAAATTTCCGTTGGCCGTTAGGCCGTTTTACACGATGCCTGATCCTGAAAACCCAAAAGCCTCGAACTCGTACGATATGTTCATGAGAGGCGAAGAAATACTGAGCGGGGCTCAGAGAATACACGACCCGGAGTTTTTGACTGAAAGAGCCAAACATCATGGAATAGGTCAGTATACTTGCCGTGAATCGTTGATTAACCTATTTCGGATTACTTTATGCTGGACAAGGTACATTAAACCAATTTTGAGGCAACATACAGCGTCGGGAAAATTAATAAGTTTTTACACGATTGCGGGGATTCTTCCAAATGACCTTGACGAACAAAAAGCGTCCTAGCAAAGAGTTACCCGTTTCAGAACTTGATCTGGCACGAACTCTGGCAGCTGCTGGGAAAAACCTAGACTGTTTACTCAGGGCTAAGAAGTACATACTTATATTGCATTTCGTATTTCAGATACCAGCAAAATTGCGGCATACATAGACGCGTTCAAATATGGCTGCCCACCTCACGCTGGTGGTGGAATCGGCTTGGAAAGAGTGGTTATGCTTTACCTAGGCCTGGACAACATAAGGAAGACATCTATGTTCCCTAGGGACCCCAAGAGAGTGACACCTTAACAGATTTTGTGGATTTCATATTAACTTTGGATTATATCATTGATTTTGTCTGCTTTAACAATTGTTATTTTATCTGATCATTGTTTGAATGACAACAAATAAATTTTATTTCTAAAAGATAAACTGTCATTTATCGTAATAGATGAGGGATGGCTATGTCACATTCAAAATCGACGTCTAAAATTACACTGGACAACAAATTTTAGTTTTTTAACTGTATCTTGTGGGAAAAGTGCACTTCTTTGTTAATTTTGGGGCGCTGAATCCAAAAATGACAATGAAATAAAAAAATTAGTTGCGGTTTAGAAAAAAAACTTTTTATTTTTAAGGATATATTGAAAAAAGTAACAAGATTCATATACTTATAAGAATCACTATATGCGCTGTCTTTTTGCTGTCCTTTTATGGATCGTTTCTGGAGCATCTCTACCAAGAGTCCAACAGTAGTCTGCAAGCATGGAAGGATTCCACTTTCCCTGGTACCTTTTTTCCATTGTTGAAATATCCGTGCTCATCACTTACGGCTCCGCAATTGTCAGGAAAAAAGTCCACGTGTGAGTGTAGGAAATGTATCTTAAGAGACATATTACAGCCCATCTTTTGATACGATGACAGCATATTTTTGACAAGGGTTTTATAGTTGTCAGCTGTTCTATTTCCCAAGAAATTAGTGACCACCAGACGGAAATCATTCCAAGCAGTTTTTTCAATACCTGTTAAAGTGTTTTCAAACTGTGTATCTTTCAAAATATTTCGAATCTGTGGCCCAACAAAAATACCTTCTTTAACCTTTGCCTCACTTAGTCTTGGAAATTTCTGACGCAGGTATTGAAAAGCTGCCCCATCTCTATCTAATGCCTTGACAAAGTTTTTCATTAGGCCCAACTTGATATGCAGTGGTGGTAATAAAATTTTTTTCGAATCTACTAATGGCATATGCTGTACATTTTTTTGACCTGGCTCTAGGAACTGACGAACAGGCCAGTTTTGTCTGGTGTAATGAAGTGCCTTTGCCCGACTGTCCCATTCACACAAAAAACAGCAAAACTTTGTGTAGCCTAGCTGCAGCCCCAGTAAAAGTGCAACAACTTTCAAATCGCCACAAATATGCCATTGGTGCTCATCGTATTTTATGCATGTCAATAGGTACTTCATATTGTCATATGATTCTTTCATGAGAACTGCATACCCTACAGGAAGAGATGGTAAAATATTTCCAATATGCAATAACACTGCCTTTAAACTCAATGTTGAACTGTCTATAAACAATCTCCATTCTTCTGGGTTATAGTTTATATTTAAAGCCGCCAGTAAGCCGTTAATGTTAGTGCAGAAAACCAAGTTATTCTCCATATTGAAAAATGGTTCTAAGTCTTTGTGGCGTTTACGAAAAACACATACCGAAACATCGTCTTCTAACAAGTTCCACTGCTGCAGTCTTGATCCAAGTAACTCTGCCTTACATTGTGGAAGTTCTAAATCTCTTACAAGATCATTTAATTCTGAATGTGTTATTTTGTGCGGTTGGTGGCATGACGTGCTCGGTATAAAATCAGGATCTCTTGACGTTGATGGCATATCTTCTTCCTGACGAATCACTCGATCGCCATGATCCGATTCGTTTTCTGATTCGCAAGTGTAGGATTCTGGGGGTTTTGGAATAGGATTTTCGTCACTGCGAGGCACAGGTCTCATCGCAGATGGTATGTTTGTGTAGTTAATAACCGATTTTTTTTTCTTGGACATACTTGTGGCTTGTCCAACACAAGGTACCATGCAAAAGTAACAATCATTAATATGATTTGTAGGCTCTCTCCAAACCATTGGGACAGCAAAGCGCATAGACCGTTTTTTGCTATTTAACCAGCTCCTCAGACTTGAAGCACATGTATTACAGCAGATGTAGGGGTGCCCACTGTTTGTCTTGATCACCTAAATTACAACCGAAATAAAGCTGATATGCCTTTGTTATTAGTGGAGTAATAGGCCGTCTCTGAGACGCAAAAGTCACATCACCACACACGTAACAAAACTGATCTGGATTGTTTACACACTTTCGAGACATCTTGCATGAACGCTGTCAGCCAACTGAGGAAAAAATGGCTAATATAAAACAATATAATGTACACGTATGTTTAACATAACACAATCATGCCGATTACATCATCTTTCCTTGCCGAATATAAAAATGTAGCACGTGCATTCTTGTGAATTACAGCATATTAACACTGTCACAGCAGGAACACATATAATTACCGTATCTCTAAAACTTGAACTAATATTGAAAAAATAAGTTTCATTCCGGTTTTAGCACATTAAAAATAGTAATATTTTGTTGATTTTATTTAGGATATTTATTGGATGTTGATCAGTGTTACCTGTCAAGAATTCGACAAAAAAAAAGGCATATCTAGGACCAATTGAATGCACAAAACTGATGTCATGTTTCCGCTGAAATTGACAGAAGGCCCGAAGAATATTCTAAGTTTTGTTCCCATGCTACAACAAAAAACTGAAATGGAAACTTCAACTAGGAGCCTTAAAGGCATTATTAAGGAATTGTCCGAAAAATCATTTAGTAATAATACCAGCGTGGCTGAAACGCTAGTAAAAAATTGGCGTCGAATAGGTTGACTCTTGCCTTCAAAACAAGAACAAAAATATTTTATAGGAATCATACAGTTTCAAATCTAAAAACCCTATATCCAACAGAAAACAGTCAAATAGTAAAAAATGAGATTTGACAGCATTGTATCAATATCTTCCACACTATAAAAGCTATTTTCAATTAAATAGCCTTTAAGCGATTCTTAAGTCTTTAGACCATGTGGAATTTGTCTAAATGGTGTGTGGAATTGCTGGTGTTGGAAGAGTATTAATATATACTAAGTGACATATAAATCCGAACACCCAGTTTAAATGGTTTTATTTTAATAAAATTTTGTATAAGTACTTAATGAAGCATAATAAGTAAATGATAAAAATTTCAAAATGATTGCACTGCTTTAAAGCCCTTTGACCTTTAATAATGTGTGGATGCACCCTAATGTGCTACACATTCTCCAACGCGCCTAGGCATGCTTCTGATCAGGTGGTCAATGTCCTCCTGTGGTATCTCATTCCAGGCAACCACCAACTCCTCTCGAAGTGCTTCTAGAGTCTGAGGAGGACGTTGCAAATTGAGCAATCTCCTACCCATCATATCCCACACGTGCTCAATTGGGGATAAGTCGGGAGATCTTGGTGGCCATGGTAACAATGTGACATCATTATGTTGAAAGAAGTCTATTGTGACTCTTGCAACATGTGGTCGGACATTATCTTGTTGGAAAGTTGGATCTGCCAGGGTTTCAAGATAGGGTAAAAGATGGGGTTCTAGAACTTCGTGGATATAACGCTGCGCGTTCATGTTACCTCTGATGAAGATTAAAGGTGACCTGGAACCATAAGCTATAGCACCCCAAACCATAACTTCAACAGTGTGATGAACATGTCTTTCAACAAAAAACTGTGGATTCCTCCTTTCACCACGTCGCCTTCTAACCCTGGCACGACCATCGTGCATGCCTAAACAAACAAAATTCCATTCCATTCATTTGCAATGGACCTGGTAGTGGAGAAACGGTCCCTTAAGGCCAATAATCTTAGGCGGCGATCTTCACGGTCTGTTGTTCTACGGCGGCGTCCAGTGCCCCTTGCTCTTTGCGTACGGCCTTCTCGAAGCCATGCCTGACAACACCTAACCACAGTGTCTACACTTCTTTGCACTCTAACTGCAATTGCCCGAAAAGAAAGTCCAGCTTCCCGAAGTCCCACTATACGGCCCCTATCAAACTCACTAAGTTGACGAAATCGTACAGGTCTCCGTACTCTAGGCATCGTAACCGATCGTAAAGGATGTCAAGAACCAAAATCCGCCAACGTTGATTCTTTACTGCGGCTGAAATATTCATTTTTAGAGCGTTAGTGAATTAAAAAAAAGCAGTATAAAAACCGGAATGTCCATCTGATGAGGCTGAACATTTTTTCACTTGTTATTTACAGTAAGATAAATACATTCACCAACTTTTATTAAAATAAAACCATTTAAACTGGGTGTTCGGATTTATGTCACTTAGTATACAAATGTAAAAAAAAATGCGAGTCAACCTGCTCGACGCCATTTTAAAGTAGGTAGTTTCAAGCACATGCCGCTAAGCATGTGTTCCATTTAGTGGCCAGACTTAATACAGAGAACTGTCTCAAGATACAAATCGTTTATTAGAACTTGCTGCTACACTAGTTCCATCATAACACAGACACGTATTCTGGCATACATCAGAACATCTCAAGACTAGATTTGGGTATACTACTCTTCTAACGAAAAACAATTTTAAAAAACATAAATGTATATACACGCTGACATGTTCCACATGACTCAAGCATTAACAAAACATTCACAAGTTTACATTAAAACATTCAATGTACAAACAACAACTTTAAAGCATTTCTTCATCTACAACATTATGTTTCTTCCTCCAAGATTTGTGTCTCTTCTTTTTCCGTTTCTCCAAATCCTCCAGGTATTTTTCCATGTTCTCGTAATCTGCGGGCTTCCGCGCCATATTCTCAGGAGGTACATCTATATTTAGTTGCTCAGGTAACATGTACGATGCTAGCCACCCTACTAGCGGTGTATATCCGAAAAAATAGTGTGACTCTTTGTGATAAAATACAACTCCATCGTAAGGCAATTTTTGGTCTTTCACTATAGTTTGTTCCGACATTATTTCCTGCATCATGGATTTCTCCGCGGGAAAGTGGTGTAACAATATAAACTGGATATGTCCGTGCTGGGCCAGATCTGGCATTTCATCGAACTTTGCCTTTAGCCAAAAAAATCTGAACTGTGCCTCGCTGTCTAACATGGACAATGAGTTCCAGAATAAACAGTCTAAAATGAACATCACATTTGTAGCTTTGTTATAAATACAGTCTAGGACTGTCGTACCATGCATTCTTATATGTCCACCTGGAAATCCCGACTTAAGGTTGAAATAATAACGTCCTTTAGTGTTATAGCAATTTGTATGACCTCTAGTCGCAATTAATAGGACTCTGAGTCCTTCTGGCGCAAACTTTGTCAACCAATTTTCTTCCAGGTCATCTGGTATATCAGTAAACCATTCGGAATGCATCAGTTTGAACACCACCTTTTTCCTCTTGCTTCGAGGTGTGACGGAGTCCCACTGCATTGTTTCTTCGTCGAAACACATGTCGTTCAATAAGAGCTCGCAGATTTTTCGATTTTCGTCGGTTATTTGATGCCTTCGCTCTTTTTGCTTTTTTAGAAAGTCCATTCGTCTTTGTTGTTGAGACATTTCCTGAGTTAACCCTCGACATTTGTATAAATTTGAGTGCATTGAGGTAGGTTCGGCGACAGTATCTTCTTCCATTTTATCTTAATTTATTCGTTATAATGGTCAAATTAATAAAACTATGTTACAAAAGTTCAACTAAGCTCTAAGAAAAAATAAGGTTATGTTATGTCTGGTTATGTTGATGTATTGGTAATCGATGTCACAACGGTCGCAACATGTAGTTTCTAATATTCCTATAGATGGCACCATAAAACGTCATTTCACTGACATCTATACACGAAGAATTCAAGTATTATGATTTGGTGACAGATTTCTATGTCATCGACAAACACCTAATTATTGTTTTACTTGTAGTTTCTAACTTCCTCTATAGATGCCGCCACCTTGATTTTAAACAGATTTCTATTACTTTAACTGTGCTTTAACAGTAATAAACTCATTTTCTCGGACTTGCATTGTCTGTATTTTTATCTAGGTATACTTTATCTGAAGTCACTTGAAACACTGTGAAATACCGGGTGCGTTTTATATATCTATATTTAACACGCTCTGTTGCTGCAAAAATCGCCAAATTTCGCAGCAAATATCCCCCGTATAAGATCAAAGGCAGTTTCACCGGTCCACGTGGAGTAAAGCACGCCTATGCGTGGACATAGCCAATGAGAAAGCGTGTATTTCAGAGCTCCGAACAAGTGCAGGTGGCTACTGAAAATTGAAACAGTTTAGCCAGTGCCGTGTAGCGGTGAATAAACGTGTTTTCTTTAGTCTGTCCGTATTTTTTCATAGATTTTATTAGTTTGTGTGTTTTTGACTTTTGAATACTGAGTTTACTTGTTGATTTAATTGTTGTGTTGATTGTTCTTGTGTGTCCTAAATATGGCTCTTTGGAGACCTTGGGAAAATGCTCCAAGCCACGAGGAGATGGTTGCTGAACCTGTGCAGGCAGAATTCTTTGATAAAGATTTAGAGAAACAGACCCAAAGAGTAATCCTAAATATGTATGATTGTTTGAAAAACGAAAATCCAGATTCCTCGCAAAATCAAATTTTAAACAGAATTTGTATCCTGACAAAAATCAGTCGGTCTACCATTTGTCGGGTTATAAAAAGGGGAGATGTAGTCAACCATTCCTTCCACAGAAAGCGCATAGGGCAAAAATTAAAAAGAACAGACGTGGGTTTTCAGGAAGATATTCGTCGTATAATATACGGATTTTATAAAGAAAATTTGGTGCCCACGTTGGAAATGATACGGGATAAATTAAAAGATTATCCTGAAGATTTTTATAATTACAAATGCTGAGACTCACTGCACTGTATGGTAAAACTGTGTGGTTTTCAATACAAAAAATTAGATAAAAGAATGGTGATTATGGGGTCGTCTCGAATCGTTGAATTGCGCCAAGAATTTTTGCACAAAGTTAAAATCTATAGAGAGCAGAAAAGAAATCTGATTTACCTGGATGAAACGTGGTATGATACCCATGATGTTGTGCAGTACGGCTGGGTTGACGACAGCAACAAGTGCATTTTAAATGCACCATGCAACCGTGGAAAACGAATCATTATTTTCCATGCTGGCAGTAAAAATGGATTTATACCTAATGCCTTGCTGTTATCTGCCAAAAATATCAAAGAATCATGTGCCGACTATCATGAGGACATGACCTCCGACTTATTTGAAAAGTGGATAGAGCAGCAGTTAATACCAAACATTTCCCCAAATTCAGTGATTATTATGGACAATGCGCCATACCATTCCCGACAGAAAAACAAAATTCCGAATACAGGCACAAAAAAACAAGACATTATTAATTTTATGAAGGTTAAGGGAATGGAAATACCACAAAAATCAACCAAAGCCATATTATTGGATCTTATTAAAAGACAAAAATTTGAAAAAGAGTATGTTGTTGACAATCTGCTTCAGCAAAATGGCCATGAAGTATTACGTCTACCTCCCTATTACTGCATTTTTAACCCGATTGAGTTGGTCTGGGCTGCTTTAAAAAAAAAGTAAGAAAACATAATCAGACCCCTCAATTAAGTGAATCGCTATTGGCCACAATAAGAGATGCAGTATCTCATATTGCTGCCACAGACCTATGGAAGCAGTGTTCTAGGCATATTATTGAAAAAGAAAATGGATATTGTGTTTTGCCCCCTGTAAATCCCGTTGTAATTCCTCTACAAGATGACTCTAGCGACAGCTCCGAAGGCGAGGATGATATATAAATACCTATAATGTAAGTCTTTATATACCTTTTTATATACCTACCTGCTATGTAAATATTTGCCTATGTCAAACGTTGGAATTCTGTAATTTTTCCATTTCTTAACTTTCAATCAACATAAATTAAACTCCCAATATAAGTATTTTTTTCCCAAATCAAAAAAATAAGAAAATAGTAAAATCCATTTATTGTGATATAAAAACATTATTATTATCGTTCTAAATAAATCACCGCACGCCTATGATACGTCATGAAATTACAAAGAACGCGCCGACCTAAGGTTTTTATGCTATTTCAAGTGACTTCAGATAATACCATACACGTTTCGATTAGGAAGTATCTCTAATCGTTATCAAGTGTGAAATGGGAAATTGTCCTGGTAATAGAGTATTTCACGTCTAGAGGCCGCTATAATAGCAAGCCAGTAACGTATCGAGGAAGGAAGATAAAAGGTTGAATATTCAAATGTCATTGACAGGGTTTTAATTTTTATTATGCGTCGTCTTAATTTCCTTTACATATTCCTCAGATAGAATAGAATGCGAGCGTTTCCAGAGGATTATTTAAACAAATAGGAATAAGCGATATCACAGGTGATCAAAACAAAGCTACAATGCAGCCTACACTTAAAAATTCATACGATGCATGGCCGAATTGTACCGAAAAGGCCGTTTATTTTGCCTGGGAATCCAACTCACTGGATCTGGCACGAACACATCTCTTCAATCAAGATCAAGCCTTTTTCGAGACAATGACCAAAAAGGGCTTCATATCAGGGTTGCCAGGTTTTCAGTCACGTTGGCCATCTCTCTGATCTAATGAAAGTAGCGTTACTGCATGTCTTGCTGAATAAGTAAAGTCTAAAGAAACTTATAGACTTGATTGACTCGAAGTGTGCAGTCAACATACTTGCATACTTAGTATGATTTTGTGTAAGCATTTTTGGATAATCCCCGGGGTAGCGGAAAGTAGCGGAGTTTTTCGATACCAGTAGCGGAATTTCCAATGTTGGCTCTGGCAACACTGCCTCGATCTTCCGCATAATCTAGTTGGCTATGGCTTGATACGGATGTCTAGATGTTTCTGATAACAATTCTGAACCGACTGTTTGGTGTAGTGGTTAGATGCCCGGACTAGTAATCAAACGTTTCAGGGTTCGATCCTGGCGTGTTCATGTTCATGTTTTGTGGTGGCGGACAGAAATCTCTTTTTTTTACTTTTTTATGTTCGGTTAGATGTTCCATATGAAACAAAATTGATAATTTATGAAACTGGTGAACGGTACCTCACATGTCACTATGCAATCTTGTTATCAAACTTTTATTCGATTTTAACCTCCACAAAGAAATTCCCGAAAATAATGAATTTGAGGTTTTCGCGGCATGTAAAACGCGAACAGTACCTTACCGGTTATAGTTATAGCGTACCGGAAACTGATAATACCCAGCGATTAGCCACCGTTTTCAACGTATCACTGGCTGCTTTATCAACTGATTTGAATTTTACCGCTACGCACACAACGAAAGCCCAATGCAACTCAACGAAAAATCAATAAGCCCGCTCCGATCTGCGCACGTCTCGTAACGCTTCAAAGCTAGGCACGAGCGGACTCACCTGCCATATGCTGTATTTTGATACGGAGTTCGAAATTGTGCAAACATTTTCGCAAGCAAAATAAAAAAATCGACCAAATACACAATCGGCAATTCGGCTGTGATCGTACAAAGTTTTCGTTTTTGTGAAAGAGTGAAACATTCTACTGGGTAAGTCTGACGAAGAGAATTACGTGACTGCGATTCGTCTGACGAGTACGTTTTGCAGTTCCAATGCGGTACCCGGGGTTAAACTTGAGAGGCGAAGTCAGAGAGAGCATTTCTTTTGATGACGATGATATGAGCGACGTCGAAGATGAGGTTTTTATCAGAGACGGAAAGAATGGATACAAGGTAAGTAATTCTAGTCGAAAAGCAGAAAATAATTTCGATGTCTAAAAATGCTTTAAAGGGAGTACCTGCTAGTTTTATTACACCGATTGATTTGCCGTACAAACAAGGTTTAGTGGCAACGACAGGTCCTCAGCATCAGGTGGTATTCGTAACGTAAACATCTGCACGTAAAGCCACCTGTCAATTCGGTAAACAGTGGAATAAACATAGTACAGGATGGGCCATTAAGTTGGGCGTATTTTAAAAAATCATGGAACAAACTACAAAGCGTAGGGAAGATCAGTTATATTTTTAATAAAGTAGACACATAAGATTTTTTTTTAAAATAACATCATTGGGATGCCAGCCATCGGGAAACATCGCACATCGCTTGTGGGATAGCGCACATCTCATCTAAAATGTTGTGCTTGAGCTTATTGGCGTAAACGCGGCTCTTGAGGTATCCCCAGAGAAAAAAAACAGTGGCTTGAGATCCCCTCGCCGCCATATCAGTTGTCCACTTAAAATTTCGTTTACAACTGCTTTATTATTGAAGATAGAAAAACGAAATGTAGGGGTTGCGTTTTATAGGTAAATTTGCATTTTTTGACATATTCACTTGCTTTGACGCACTTCCGGTTTGACCGGAATCGACTCCAACTTTCGATTTTTAAATGGGACACCCTATATATTTTTACTAATTTCGATCGATAATGGCATTCTAAACAAAACAACGCCTCACTTCTCAATATTTGACAGATACAGTCATTTTTATTTCAATTTTTATTTTTCTATCTAGAATGCCATGGATCCTGTAAATCGCTTCATTTTTAATCAAGTAACACGGAAAAAATACGATTTTGACGTCGTTTTAAAAATTTTCTAAAAGTTACAAACACTAATTTTCTCGGTTTACTTGATTTTTTCAAATAGAAAAAGAGACCATTTTCGCACGAATAGTTTGACACTACGAACTCTTATTTTTTTTTCACAATTTTTTTGAATAATTGTAAGAAACGACCATAACAACAAATAACACGTATCTACATTCGGTATACCTATACATTCATTATTCAAGTTATCCATAACAAAAATTGAAGATGTTGCTTTCGAAATACAAAATGTGCAACGAACCAGAAGTTGACATCAAAATCGTATTTTTCCCGTGTTACTTGATCAAAAATAAAGCAATTTATAGGATCCATGGCATTCTAGATCGAAAAATAAAAATGACTTTATTTGTCAAATATTGACAAGTGAGGCGTTTTTGAGTTCAGATTTTCATTCTCGATCGAGATCAGTAAAAATAAATAGGATGTCCCATTTAAAAATCGAAAGTTGGAGCCGTTTCCGGTCAAACCGGAAGCACATTAAAGCAAGTGAATATATCAAAAAATGTAAATTCATCCGTAATACGCAAATCCCAAATTTCGTTTTCCTATCTTCGATAATAAAAAAGTTATAGGGTGAGCCACCTCGGAGAATCACACTATTCAGAAAAATAAGTGTCCAGTGTCGGTGAAAAATAGTCGTATCTAGACTCTAAAAAAGGATCTGCACATTAAGAGGAATTAAAAATGTCAATATCAGAATAAATGAACTTGAAAACGGCGTATATCAGAAACGAAGTTGCATTTACTCTAACCTCATCAGTGGATTGTAAATGTTCTACAAGCTAAGTACTTGAGTCAATCTCCTTGACGCCATTCTTTTCAGCTTGCAGAGGACTTTAACGCAAAACGTCCTCTTATGGCCCCAAGAAGGACGGCAAAGTCTGATATCAATGCTAGACTAAAAGCGAGGCCTCCTTGCAGAGCGTTCTGTAAACCGTGCTGTTATGTCATCCTATCTTTGAGTATTTTAATTGGTAAGTTCCAAATCTGCAATATACAGGGTGTCCGCAATGTTGGGGTTTTCCTTTACACGACGTGTAGATCTTGAAAACATAAGCAATTTTAGTTGTTTCTGAAAAGGAAAACCCCAACTTTGCGGACACCCTGTATATACAAGCAGAATATTTTGAGTACCTATTGCCATTTCAGCTGACCATTTATTCCTAAATCTAGCTTGAAATTTGGTGAAAAATCTCTTTCTCTCAATGAATCCGATGATCTGTTCGTAAATAATTCCTTCAAATACTTTTTCGACATTCCTCTTAACCTTCAAAACAGGCTATTACCCAATTGGCGAAATAGACTTGAAAGGCATCCATAATGGCTGAGGTATAACTGTCGAAAATTTGTAATTCTAACAAAATAGTAAAACCCACTTGTTATTGGTCTATAGTAGAATACCAAAATTGATGACAGTAGCGAAACTCATCGTACGCCACTGCTGGTATGCGGAGGCGTTCGAAAATGCGGCGCTTCTTTGTGAAATGTCGGCAACCGTCGCTGCAATCAAAAGGTACCGCTTCAAAGCAGTGGCGCACGATGACTTCTTCCACTGTCAACAATTCTTCTGGCATTTGACTTTATTTCAGGTCTAATAATTCTTGTAGTAGTAGTGGTATCTATGTTTCCTCTACCGATAGACAAAATCAGGGATTGGATAATAAGCAAAACGCCGAAAGAAGACGCAAGCGTCAAGCTATTGCCTTGTAATAATTTGAGGGTAAAGGACGTATGGTCGATCAGTCTTCCTAAACTTACGACTGATTCTGCTGTACGCACAATCGATGTAAACGAGGATGGTTTTGAAGATGTACTTTTTAGTTTTGGAACAGGTAAATATGCGTTTGAATATGCAATAGCGTTCAGGGTATTTCCAAAATGTGGGGTAAACGTTCAATTCAAAACAATAATTCAAAAACTTCATAAATAAACACCATTTATATCAGGTAAAAATAAAGGCTTTTTATTATCATTAAAAGCTTGTAGGCAGTGGAATCCAAGTATTCTACAATAAATTATACAGGGTGTTTCATTTAGTTTTTTGAAAAAAATACCTTTTGCAGTTTCGGCCACCATGTATTGACCAGTAAAAAGTAGATGACTGGGGTTACAAATGACAGGAGTGAAACTTTAATCTTTTTCCAAATAAAATATCCTATAGCTCAACGACTAATAGTCAAAACCCATAAGTATGTTACATCAGTTTTCTTCTTTTGAAAGGATTTATCTGAATATGTAATGAAAATGTGGCATTCCAGCAAAAAATCAACTTTGATGTGGGTCGAAATTGGGACACCCTCTGTACGTGGAAGTATTTTATAAATATGCCTCTATATATGATACATGAGTATAACCACCAATAAATAGTTTTTTTAAAGATTCTATATTTGGCTCGATGAGACACCCTGTATACATTTGCATCTGTATACATATACAGGGTTATAAAATGCGTTGAAAAAATGGCGACTATGTCGAAAAATAGCTTAAAGATCAACGTTTAAAATAATAAATTCGTTTTAACAAATAAATAATTTGTGCCCTGTGAGAGAACCCTATTTTTAAGACAACCCTCGTAGTTTTCTAAACACTAATGATACCAATTCCAAGCCACTTAATTAACAGACCTCGTACATTCATCAGAAGTTTTCCTCTTAAAATGGTCCCAAAAATGGCCCACTTAAATGTTTACATTGAATTAGGAAACATCATGTTTTCACGTTTACGCAATGTGTCCAGGATGACTGGGCTATATAGTCGAAATCACGAAAGATGACGATTACGTCATCATTTTAGTATGTAAACGACAAGCGACAGCGATTTGTGAATATTTTTAAATGAAGTTTCAGATACAAACATAATTTTATTGTCTAAATAAACTGTATTGCTGACGATGTTTTCATGTTGCATGATCGATCATATTTGAAAGATGAATAGTTAGGTTATGTTAAAGCAGGTTAGGTTGTTTTCGAATAATACTTTGGTCTTTGGTGTTCCTGTCTTACGGTGTTCTACTCGCAACTTTTTTTTTCAAAACAAAAACTCCCCACTAAAATTATTATTAAGGTATCAGTCAAAACCATGAAGTAACATCAAAATAAAAATAATCAGTGAAATAACCTAACTTCGCAAAATCATAATATAAAGTTGTTGTCATTATGTTCCTGACATCGTGATTTTATCATCGACGTACGTCCATTGATAACTTCAGTACAATTTATAGTATGACGTAATAGAAATCTTTCTGAGTCTGACTATAGTTGTCAATATTATACCCAAATTTGTTGAGGGACTTCCAAGGGCGTCCGCAGGGGCGGGGCAAAGAGTGCCGTACCGGACCTTAAATTTTGCATATTTAGCACGATTTTGTGTATGATTCTCCGTTGAGAAAACTTGCTATTGTCCGCTCTACAAAAAGTGTTTTGGAGCAAGTTCCCTTTTACCTTCCTTCCTACCTTCCTTTGCTGAATGTAAAAAATTTCAGGTAACAATTATGACGTCATCCCCGCAGACGTGTTCTGCCCCGTGTTCATGGGCGTACCGCCTCCATGTGAAGGAGGCGTCATTGCATTGAACGGCGTGAACGGTGAAATACTTTGGAGACAATGGCTGAACGATACCATATTTTCTTTGCAATGTTCAACTGACGTGAATGGAGATCATATCAATGATTGCTTAGCTATAGGAATTAAAGGGGTGAGATTTAGCAAATTGTCATTGAAGTTAGAGGAGAAATTATTATAAAATATTACATAGATAGTTAAAAACTCCATTGGCTCTCAACATATCGACACAGGGCAGGCATCTTAGAATAATATGGCGACTGATCTGGGGCAGTGTCGTCACTGATACAAGAGAAATGGAGTGGAGTATACAGGGTGTTTCAGTTTATTGTTGCATAACTTTAAGATTCGATAGAACTCTTAAAATTAATGCGTAAAGTCTATATAAACATGGGTCGAAAAATGCGTGGCTTAAATTTACTTACTAAAATAGTTTTTTTTTTAAATATTTCGAACAATATTTGATGTATAACAGTGAAAATTGGTATACAAGGGTTTTTTGGTACGACAAAACGAACCATGGGCATAGTTTTACTGTAGCCGCTAGAGGGCGCTCTCTACTGTACCTGTAGTGTATTAAAATGACCGAAAATTTTTTCTTAGTGTAATTTTTTGCTTTTTGGATAAAAAGACTGATTCTTCGCACTTTTCAACATAAAAAAGCTCTCTTATGAGTTTTCGTTATAGTTAGCCATTTTTGAGATATTTCGATTTTTAAGGTTCCATGCATTTTTAATTATTTATGGGAAAATAATATTTTTTTTTTACATTTTCGATTCGGGCATTACAAGTAATTAAGATGATCGTTTAGATTGTGTTTTTAAACACAGCAATAATTCCCAACTCCAAATAAACACAAAAAAAAGAATATTAATTTGTTTAATTTTCCAATATAATTTTTAACAAATTAAATTAATTATTTACAACTAAAATGCTATTGGATAGTTAGGACAAACATACAAAATCTAAAGTAGTTGCTCGAAATGTAAACCCAATTGTTCAATAAAAAACAGGTAAAAGAAACTAAATTTCATGCATTCACAATTGCAAAAAAACGTTTCAGGTTTCAACAGACAACAAAACTAACTGTCAAATAATTGACGTTTAACCTTATTCTGCTTTCAGTTTCAAAAATATTTGCAAGCACAGCTTACTTCTAAAACTTATCGAGATACTGACTTTTTAACGTTGTTTTATCATAAATAATTAAAAATGCATCTAACCTTAAAATCGAAATATCTCAAAAACGGCTAACTATAACGAAAACTCACAAGAGAGCTTTTTTATGCAGAAAAGTGCGAAGAATTAATTTTTTTATTCAAAAAGTAAAACATTGCACTAAGAAAAATTTTTCGGTCATTTTAATACACTACAGGTACAGTAGAGAGCGCCCTCTAGCGGCTACAGTAAAACTATGCCCGTGGTTCGTTTTGCCGTACCAAAAAACCCTTGTATACCAATTTTCACTGTTATAAATCAAATATTGTTCGAAATATTTAAAAAAAACTATTTTAGAAAGTAAATTTCGGAAGCCACGCCGTTTTCGACCCATATTTATATAGACTTTATGCATTAATTTTAAAAGTCCTATCGAATCTTAAAGTTATGCAACAATGAACTGAAACACCCTGTATAGTCATTCAGTAGTATTATTTTATTCTCAGAATGCTCCTTACGAGATGCTACCCTGACGTTGATATCCTTTGAAGGTCATTTGAAAGTGCAACAATAAGAAATACGATTTTTTTTTAGACAATAATAGTGATCAGCGCAAAAAACGGATCAGTGATATGGCAAATCAATAGCGGCAAATCGAACATTTTCGTGGGGAATTTCATCCCAGACCAAGACGGAGATGGGATATGGGACGTTCTCGCATCCCATTCTTCGTTGACTGAAGGAAAAGATGGACATATCATTTTGTTCTCTGGAAAGAGCGGAAAAGAACTGAAGAAGTTAGATACTCCTAATAATGCGAAAACGTTCTACATGCCTCAAATTCTGAAGTATAACGATTCTGAAGCGTTTGTTTTGTTCGGCACTGGGTCTACGACACGACCAGGGAATATGAGTGTTGTATCCTTAAAAAATATCGAGAATCTGGTAAGAGATACAAGTCTTACAATACAGATAGGGCATTTCTGAAACTACCTTGATAAACAAAACCGTATATACTTTTTAAACATTCAAAATTTCCTTTGATTCCTTTTGTGGACAATCAAACGAAATTCGATAGGTTTGGGGTAATTTGGGACGCAGATTTCGAGTATAGATATCTGTTATGTGCGGCAAGAACACATCCGTTCCAGTCTGGTAGAAAGTTTATTGAAGTTTACAAAGTGGACTGTATTTGATTAGAAAAATGATTGACAATACAAATTTTTCTTGAACGTTTTTGATGCGTTCCATCTCGACACCTGTTATGTTGGTCTCGGCGCTTCGATGTCCCCGCGTCTCCGTCCCCATTGGCTGGGATTCAAAAACTGCCAGGCAGCGCTTGCGCAGTGGTCGTGGCTGGTACACAGTGGCGAGCGCGCCAAATGACCATTGGCGTAACAATATCAAAAAGTGGAAAATCCTATGCACTCGGTTTACCCAAGAAGTTTTTATCGCAAAAATCTTGAAAAATTTGAAAAGTTTCTCAAATCGAAAATAGCTGTTTTAAAAGGTAATAAAAACGTGCTGCTTTCAAATTCCAGACAAATTCGTCAACGACAATATTCGAAAACAAACACGAAGGTATACTGACCCAATCGGTGCTGGTCGACATAACAGGAGATGAAATACCCGATATCATAAACTCTATGTACAACACTACAGTGATAGCCATAGATGGCAGCACTTTCAAACAAATCTGGAACTTCACTGTGCCTGGCGCTTACTCAGAAACAAACTTGAGCCCCACACCTGGATACTTTAACTATGATAACGTTACTGATTTTTTGGTCGTGTATCAGAAGTACGATGATATTCTTAACTATAACTACACCCAGGTAGGTTCGAATTAAGCTTAAGTAACACTTAACTGTTAAGTATCACTAGGCACTTAAGTGGTGACTATAACTTCGGATCTTAGATTTGATGGATGTGTTTCAGACTTTCATAATAGATGGAAAAACGGGTCGATCCATATACAATCCTATTGCCGGGAGTATAATTACCCAAATGAGCGCCATGGCTATAAGCTCAGAGTGCCATGGCTATGACACGTTCCTGTTTTGGACTTCGGAGTGTGCAAACATAGAAATGTACAAGAAAGTCGACTTACCTAAAGGTAAGAAAAACGTATTAAATTGCTACAATTACATTCTTTTGAAAAACTTCAACATCTACATAACATGCAAATATGCAGAAAAACAAAACCTGCATCTCTTAGAATTTTCATCGTCCAGAAATGTTCCTTTAATTTTCTTTAAATTACAAGTAGACTTTAAGTGGTACCTATTCATTATCCAGTTCTATGTAATGATCTAAATGTTTTGACAAGAGATGATTTTTTTTTAAAATATGAAAATAAGAACCTAATATTTATATGAATTTTTTTATGTTCAGTGTAACATAGATTTTATTTTGGGTGTACTAATTTTTATTCAATATTACTGTCATAGATTTATTTCGTAGAACAATTTAGTAAATGCGGTAGAGTAAGTGCCAAATAGACGGAGATAATATAGAGGATGATTCCTTGTTAAAGAATATGAAAAAAAATATCCGTTAACCCATAAACATTCCGGAGGCCGGAATTGCAAAGTTTTCAATATACAGGGTGATACATTTAAAAAAATTATATATATCTTAAAAAATATATACTCAATTTGACAATATTATTTGTTGTATTAAGATGCTAATTTAGCCCCAAATAGATTAAAATTATTAGGTCCAGTGTCGTCCCGCGGGGCACCTTAGCGAATATTATTGACAAAAAAACGTACGCCACTGCCTTTTTTGTAACTTTAATATTTGTTGTTTCATTAAGCATCTGAAAATACAACTTCTTTGCCTCTCGTATTTTTTCCGTATCTCACTTCATTTTCGAAAGAAAAACCGTTTTGGTTTATTAATTTTTGCTAGAAAAATCACAAGTGCCTTGGAAAACAAAAAATCCTTTCTATATGGAAGTTTGACGTTTGCGCGTCAATTCAAATTTCAACAGAATCGTGTAAATATGTTTTAAGACAATAAATTTTATCCTGTATATTGAAAACTCACCATTTCCGGACCAATGTTTAAAGAAGTTTTTTTCATTTTTTCCAACAAGGAATCACCCTTTAAAATATCTCCGACTATAAGACCCTGTCATTTGTTTTTTTATTGGTTATCATTCCCTAGTTCTGGGATATTTAAATACTTAAAAAAACGCATGTATTGCAGCAAATTCAGACGCACCTTATGATGAGTGCAAAAGTCAGTTCAACACTTCAAGAATCATTAAAATGAACGCATTAAGTCAGTTTCATCAACCACCAGGCTTCGTTGTCTACAACTCTGGTGAGTATAATTATCATCAGGCTGAGTCGATCAGAAGCAGCGTATCCAAATCCAAAATAAAATAAAGCCATTTTTAAATTCGCTCTCTCAGCTTGGATTTGACTGGGGCTTAGAGATGATTATTTCATCGATCGATCTTTTCTAGTGGATCGAATACCAACGGAATTTAAAAGCTTCAAATCGATTACAAAGCAACTGAAAGAATACTATACGACCCATCCGAAGCTCCGTATTTTATCAGCAGGACAGTCTGAGCTAGGGGAAAATTATAACGTAGACGCAAAGCCTATTGGAATACGAAAATATGGGTCTTCAAGTTTCCGCCACAAGCCTGCTGGTAACGCGGGAATTTTGAAAAATTATATTCCTAGTGAAATCACTGAACAGGTATGTGAACATTCCTCTGACATGGAACTCAAAACTACGCGATATGGCGTCCATAAGAATAAATAAGTAAAAGTAAAAGCAGTATTTTACCAGTTTTACGATTATCTCTTTAAACATAAAATTTTGCATCCCATCATTTCCCGTTTTGTAGTCAAGTGTAAATATGTTAGTTTTTCTGATTCTTCCTTAAATATGATTCAGAACTTCTTAGGAAATCGATATCAAAGAATACGCATCGACGTGGTTTGTCTCCAAAGTGCCTCATTTCCTACGGAGTTCCCAAGGATCCGTACTTGGGCCACTACTATTCATTTTGTATATTTCTGGCATGTAAACGCAGTCGTTTCCATTACCACAACGTTCAAAGTGCTGAATCTAACGTAAATCAAGATATAAAATCTACGTGGGACTAACTTATAATATATAATATATAATATATAATATATAATATATAATATATAATATAATATATAATATATAATATATAATATATAATATATAATATATAATATATAATATATAATATATAATATATAATATATAATATATAATATATAATATATAATATATAATATATAATATATAATATATAATATATAATATATAATATAATATATAATATATAATATATAATATATATATATATAATATATAATATATATAATATACAGGGTGACTTTGAAGTTGAGTCATTAATTTTCAGATAATGATTGTAGAAGGAAGATAAACCAAAATATGTGTGTAAAAATAAAAAAAAAATTACCTTGTTTTATAAAGTATCCTCCCGACAAGTATTTCAGTGCGGACCTGTATTTGATCGTGAGGTCTTGGAGCACCGGCATGCCGTCCCCTGTGAGGTCTTAAGTCACCTGATTCACGAGCCCGTTGTACTACATTAACAAAGGCACGTGGGGTTGGTTGCACTCGATTGGGAAACCGATCCGCATAAACATGTGCCATTTTTTATTTCGTTTGAGCCACGCAACAGACACCACTATTCACTCACGCGTTACCGACTGACACTGACTGTATACAACTGAATAAAATAATTGTAAAAACATCGTTCCAAATTCTTTCGCTTTTTGTTTCCGATGCGATGAACCGATAAGGCGGATTATATCCGTTGTCGCCAAACACGAGCACATAATATTATTATTGAGACAGGGCGGTACTCAACTTCCAAAGGGCTATAACTTTGTTACTTGAATTTTACCAGAAAAATGGTAAAGGAAAAAACATTTCTTTTGATCAGATCTACTCACTGTTAAAATAAATGACTCAACTTCGAATTCACCCTGTATAATATATAATATATATATATAATATATGATATATGATATATGATAATACATAATATATAGTATATAATATATATATGTGATATATGATATATGATATACATAATACATAATATATAATATATAATATATAATATATAATATATAATATATAATCTGTTTCAATAAATGAAATGTTCTCTTATGTTTTTGTATCCTGTTGTCCTTTTTGTTTTGA